GTCATCTCCATGTCTTATGGAAGCTGCATCTTCATGTATGTCAAGCCTTCAGCCAAGGACAGGGCCTCGCTGACCAAAGGAGTGGCCATTCTCAATACCTCCATTGCTCCCATGTTGAACCCTTTCATTTACACCTTGCGGAATCAGCAAGTAAAAGAAGCCTTCAAAAGTTTGGTTCATAAAGTAGTGTTTTATAAGAACAAGTGAACTTGTGTTAACATGAATGAATGAATGCTTGCTACTGTGAAGATTCAAAAAGTGTTAATGAAACTTTCATTGTCCCCTATCACGTACAATTGCCTGCATGCCCATCTTCTTGGCTTTAGGGAACCTTTAGAAACTGAAATGATTAAGTTGAGTCTTCCTGAAGGGGTTCAGGTTAATTGTAATCATTAGTCTAAAACTCTGTTCAATTTTTGTTTTGGGGTTTTGGTTTTTGTTTTTTTTTGAGACAGACTAGCTCTGTAGTCCAGGTTGATCCTGAAATTCCTGATTTTCCTGCTTCATCCTGTAGAGTAGCAAGGATTACAAGCTTGAGTTCTAGCTCTCAGCTTGACTTAAAATTCTAAATAGAAAACCAATGGCTGTTGAAATCCCTTGGATGGTTACTCACATGATAAAAATTATTTATAGCACAATGACTAAGACAACCCTATATCGTTCTAATAAGTGAAGTCTTGAATGTTCTCTTCTCTATTATTAATATGAGAAACCCCTTTAAAATTTGTGGGAAATGCAAATTCATTAAATAATTAAATTTACTATATCTACCCAAATCTAGAATTCAATCATTGTAACTGATCTTTTGTTTTTCTACTTACAAATACTTTGAATATTTGAATTATATTGGTAGTTTTACATTACCTTCTATTTCTAGTTGTGCTGAAATTATGTGTTATATCTAGTTTCATATGTTGCTCTTATCAACATTTGTAAAATTAATATAAAAAGACAAATATATAGATGGACATGGTATTTCTTATTTAATCTGAAAATCTGATAGGGATTTCCTAAAACTATAATACCCTTTAGGTACAGAACTCAAGGGAAAAGTGGTGAAAAAATAGCAACAGTGGAGCTCGCTGGACACTGATGAAACTGAACTATACAAGGAATTCATAGGTGGAGACAGAAGACACTGTACAAAAGGAAATGTACTCATTACCTGACTCATGTAATTGCTGTGTACATCACTGTTATAATAACAATAAAGAGAGACTAGAAATGTTCTATAAGCCTATCATACTTAACCCCTTCATGTTATATGGACAAATAAACATTTTTATAAATAAGTTAGTTTCTTCTCAGAAAAGTTCAGCTATTTGATAAAGTCATTGAGTAATAGTATATAACCCAACAGCTTGATTTAAAAAACACACAAAGTCTTTGTTCTTTTATATTTTGCATAGTTTTTCCTAAGGACCTGAACAATTTTTTTGGCTTTTATCAGAGTCTCTTATTTGGTAATGACTATATGATTTATTTTTGGTCAGGAAAGGTACTGAATCATAATAAACTACCGGCATTTAAATTAGGGAACTAATCAGTTAAAGCAAGAAACTCATCTACTACCATTATTATACACCTACAGATTGCCCAGAAAAAAAAAAGGAAACGTATCAAGTGTTAGCAGTATCATGTTAATGGAAATTCTTTCAACGAGATAGTTTTTAAGTAATGGAGATAAGAGATATATTAGCACACTGTAGCATTTTCCTAGTTTGGAACATGCTATGTATTTTCTGTTCAAATTAGTTATTAAGTGTTATTTGGTTGCAATCTCTGTCTTATAAAATTAGGCCAAGGGGAAAAAGCCTTCACACTTAGTGTTGGTATTTACGCTTTTACTTCTTTTTCCTCTCTCTCTCTCACTGGACACCATCTCCCAAGCTTCCTTTTCCAATTTTGATACTATGTTCAGTATGATTTAATATTCCTCTGTGTTTTGTATACATTCCTCTTCTGGCAATTTTGACCTACTGAATTAGTTCCCTTGAGCCAGTTGTAGAGAGAATGGATAAAACATTAAGTAAGCCCAAGATACATGAATTCTGTATAAAAACCATAAAACATTCCAATATTTTTTCCACTTCATATTTTTGTCCTTCCCCACTTTCTTCAAAGATACATTTCCGTTCTAGATGGAATGGGACTATACATAATACAAAACCAAACTAGTCCAGTAGAAAAGAGAGAGAACTTTCACAGAAATGCTGCTTTCTCTAGAACACAACATTCTCAGTGCTAATGAAAATATATGAAATCACAGGTATGTTGGATATATAACTGGTGTGACAGTCTCTCAAATTTCAGCACTACTTATTTACTTAACAGCTTGCCTTTTAATCATGATAAATGACATATTTTAGAAGTATGTTTTGAAACTTGATGTGTGAAAAATGATAAATTGCTAGGCACTCACTGGTGGCTCACACCTGCAATCTTAGCTACTCAGGAAGGTAGAGGAATCCCAGGTCACAGCCAGCCCAATCAGGAAAGTCCATGACACTCTGATATTCTACTAAGCACCAAAAATCTGGAATAGGAGCTATGGCTCAAGTGATAGATAGGGCACTTGCTTTGAGGAAAAAAATAACTCTTAGGAACAGTACTAAGTTCAAGCTTCAGGACCAGCACACACACACACACACACACACACACACACACACACAGGATAAAGTTATTAACTTGATGTGTTTCATAGTATTAGTTTATATTCATTTTCTAAAATTTCTATCACTGTATCTGTGTTTTAATAAATGCACAGTAAGTTAAGGGAATGCACTTTCATTTTTGGAAACCTGAGATTGTGTATTTACTATATTTATGAGTTAGTAGAAATTACAAAATTTATAAAATTTCTCGAACTTCAATGCTTTATTTTAGAGTAAACATAGAAATTTCACATGTGTAAATGAGGTAGTTTTAAAATGTTTAGTCATTGCTACAAGTAAACACACTGAATAGTAAAAAAAGAAAAATACACTGGGACATGATAAGTAATATGTTTCTAGGCATTCACACACAATGAGACCAAAGGAGAAAATTCTTAAGAGAGGACCATAAAGGCCCAATACCTATGTGCATCTAGTCATATAAAACAATATTTATCCAAATAAGCTCTCTAGGAAATGGAAAAAGAAGTATTTTCCTTGTTTTTTTTGTTGTTGTTTTCTTTTCCTTTTGTTCATTTATCTGTATAAATGAGAATAAATGGGAGCATAGAAATGGTGGGGCAGAGAGTGAACAAATGCAGTTCTGGTACTCTCTAAGCACTGTTGAAAATGAACTACATATGTTGTAGGTGGACATGAGAGGGAAAAACTAGGAGAGAGCTAAGGAAGGCATTACATTGTTCAACAAATGTACTCTTTATCTGACTAATGTAACTATAACTACTTTGTACATCACCTTTATAACAATAAAAGTTCATGCAAAAATTTAGTTATTGTCGTAAGCAGCACCTTTAATAAATCACAACTACTCTAAATGTCCTGTCCAAATTGCTGAGAACTAATTCCAATAGAAATAAAAATAAACATACAGCTCAGGTGCTACCACCTGTATAACACAACTATTTATATGATACATCTAATCCGTAAATCTACTCTAACACTTTATTTACATTTTAAGAGGAGCAAATCAATCTTAGAAAGTTAATCCAAACCCAGAGGTTTATTAATTGACCCATTTGTATTTTTAATCTATGTTCTTACAGTGGTAAAGCCCATGTGCTTTGTGATACTCATAAGGCCCTAAAAAGAAATTTTTAAGGCAGTAGAGTGGGCAAAAGGAAGGTACAAGAATGGAGGGAAGAAGAGTGAGCAAATAAAGATATAATATTCAATGTACATATTTAAAAAGTGAAATATGTGACTTGAAGGTAGGTACAAAGAGATAATAAGGGGAAAAAAGGAAGGAATGACATTGATTAGGAAACTTTGCATTCAAATCCAGAGTTAGAGATTGTATCCATTTGACAATTCCTTGATAATAATGATTTTTAAACAGAATTAAATTTTAAAAAAGAAATTGATAGTGTTTTGGTATGAACATTTTATTATCAGTTTATTTCACTTTCCTTCCTTCTTTAAATTATAGCTATCTAGTTAAAGAATAGACACCAAGAGGTTTGGAATAGACGTTTACCAGAGTCCTTACACAGATGAATGAAATGTTTCTGAAATTACTATTTCATGTCATTGTATGGTCTGTTATTCCTTTGATGTGTTTCCAAACAAACCAGTAGAAATGCTGTGAAAATAGAACTTTTCCAACATTATTGAACTTTATTAATATAAATTATTCATATTTCGCTAGGGATAGTTAAATAAAATGGTCATAAAAAGTACTAAAAAATACAATAAAATCTTCTAACCACTCACTAGGTATTCTTGAAGAGTCTTTTTGTCATTAAGGCTAACAGAAATTCTCAAAGAAACCCTGGTGCTCTGATCCAAAATCTGGAATATGTAAGCATTAGCAAAAGTGAATTCTTGGCCATTACAAATTACTGTCCATAGAGTAAATTAAACAAAAATCCCTTCCAAAATATTATAACTTAAACTCAGAGTAGGTGCTTCAAACTCATAAAGTAGAAAAAAGGGGAGGTTATTAATGCATTTGGAAAAAAAAAAGAGCTGGGAATGATGAGTTCAGTGGTTGGCAACAAGCTTTTCCCCTTCTGAACAAATACATCTCTGGAAGAATGACAGACTCTAACAATCAGATGCTATATATTCACTATTATTATTACTATTATTATCTTGAGGTAGTTGTACAAAGGTTTTGCCATTCAACTAATCGCTTTATGAGAACCATACATTTTGTTTGATGGGACCCTTTCATCATTCCCCTGCATCCTTCCCAACTCCCATCTTTAATATTATCTTTAATTCTTTCAAAGAAAGAAGCCTGCTTTGTGTTGGCAAATGGATACAACCTATTGAATTTTCATGACTATTTCCACATGAAAGCATAGTATGCTGACATTAGTTTTTATTTTGGATCACTTTATCAGAACTTTTTAATCTCTTTTGCTGGTCTTTGAAGTCTGACTAAGCAAATGCTCAAGTTTTGGCTACGCTCTTAAAATCCCTTAAAATAACTATGCATATTATTCCTAACTGCTCTTTCTACCTTCCCTCACATTTACAATCACTAGTAATAAAAAGAGGGGAGGGGTTGAGCCACAGTATTGTCCAGGT